AACCAAGGATCCGCAATGTGATGAAAAGGACTGAATGGACAATGCAGTGCAAGTAGAATCTCAACAAGCAATGTGCATTCCGATACATACAAAATGGTGCTTGATAGCACAGGGAAGACTTAGATACAAATCCTGACCTGACCGAGACTGACCTCTTTCACGTAGTACAGGATAGCGAAGCAGAATGCTAGAATACTAAGGACTAGCCCAATCAATGTTTCAACGCAGACTGAACATACATCATTATCATCACGAGGTGTGAAGGGACCTGGCGCTGTACACAGGAAGATGGCGCCAGGCCCTGACCATGCACAGACGAAGAGGAGGGAAACAGACGAAGAGGAGGGGGAGAGATGGGAATGTCGTCAACACCAAGTCTTTGTCACAAGTCCCAAATAATCCCTCGTCAAAATGTCTGAAGCCCAAAAGTCGAGTCTGGATCAAATGTCACCAAGCTCTCTCTCTCCTTCTCTCGTAGTCTGCTGATGCAGTGAAGTCAGACATTGAGAGGGTGAGAGGGAGATGGTGGACTGAGAAGAGGAAGAAGAAGAACTCTCTCTCTCTCGTATGCCAGGTACTAACCTGTGAAGATGGCGCTGTGCTGCAGGTACCTCGAAGACGAAGCTGGAGCCACGGCGCTGCAGGTAAGTATCCCGGGCCTCCGCCCAATCTCTCTCTCTCTCTAGTACTACTCTAGCTATGGTGCCCAGCGCTGAAGACTACAGCTAACGCTACTAGCGTCCAGCACTGAAGACTAATGCTAACGCTACTACTACTCCTGCAGCGCTCCTCCAGAGTGCTGCTGCCAAATCCTGAAGACTACTGACTGCCTCCTGCCTCCTGAACTGCACGTGAAGTGCCTGGGAAGTACCTAGGAACTACCTCCCAACTACCTGCAGCCTGCAGGGCGGCCCAGTCTTATATAGTGCTGGCCCGTCCAGGAGGCTGCTCTTGCCAATGCCAAGACGTGCCAGACCCTGGGGTTGAAGCTCAAACAAAGGTTGTCTTGAAAATAGGCCAAAAATGGCCTGAGCTAAAACCCTGGTCTGGTGCCTGAGTTTCAGGGCAGGTCGATCTGATGAGGCCTGAAAATGGCCCTCAGTTTCAGGCTGAAAATACTCAGGGCCGGAAACGCCCTGATTTAGCCTGAGACGACACAGGGCCTGTAGGCCCTTGTTTTCAGGCTTTTAGGCTGAAAACGACACAGGGCCTGTAGGCCCTCGTTTTCAGGCTTTCAGGCTGAAAACAACACGGGCCTGAAAATGGCCCGTGCAGCCTGTTGCAGGCGCAGCATGTAACACACACACAGAGAGAGAGAGAGAGAGAGAGAGAGAGAGAGAGAGAGAGAGACAGAGAGAGACAGAGAGAGAGAGAGAGAGAGAGAGAGAGA